TGTTACGTCGTTGATTCAGATGGTTAGGTTAATAGCTTGTTTAGAGAACCTTTTCATAATTTTTTGGGACAGGCATTTTGGGTTTTCATGAGCTGTTTGCCATAATCATCAGTTTTAAAATAATTAAAAACCTGAAATATTTCAGTTGGTGTGCAATGAATCTGAAATATACGAAAAGTTTAATTTTTATCATTACATTATGGAAAATAATGACCTTTATCACAATATGCTAATTTTTTTAGAAGGACCTGTATATATAATATATATATAAAGATTTGTATAGATATAATGTATATATAAGATTCTGATATTATAATGTGTGTGTATAAGAAAATTATTAAACTGTATATATGTATATATGACCGTGATCTAGATAATGTGTGTATGTATATATATATATATATACGATATAGATATTAATAAAAATTTATCTGTGACTTTGAGTTTTGCAAAACTTGTCACAAGAATATTTTATTAGTGTTAATGATAACCCCACCAAGAATATTTAAATACACTGAACGATGTGTTCAGCTTTAATGGCTGTACGCCAAAGATTTACAGAGGGAAAAAATCGTAAGAATGAGTTTAGTATTCAGCTCTGACTAATTAAACGCGCATATAATTCATTACTCCTGTCAAACAGGTTACACTGAGTGGAGCGGTCGACCGTTCCAAGATGGCGGCATGCTGTATCTAGTGTTTATATCTATGGTAATGTCCTGCTTCATGTTCAGTTTGCTGAGTTCCAGACATAGATATAATCACTAGATCCCTCATCGGCTGCTGCGGGGCGGATTTTCGCCCGCCATCTTGGAATGGTCGTCCTTATTTGGTTAAAACAGAAGATGTCTCAGCACTTCGTTGCTTATTTCTGTTCTAATCGACGGACTGTTGACGTCAGGTCTCGGGGGATAACTTTTCACAAGTAAGATGAACATATTATTGTTAGTATTTTGTGAATATAATATTACTGTACTGTATTTATGTCCACCAGCTGATGTTATGTTCAGTGTAAAGTGTTCAGCTGCAATGAAGCTGACTGAGATCTGATGACAGGAATATTTTGCTAACAAACGTACCCACTATTTCAGTAGCTTTGGTTCATTATCAACAGATATGTATCATAATTGGAGTTTTGTTTAAGTTCTAGGATATAAAAAAAATAAAACTAGTGAGAATATAGGAAATAGAAAATAAGATTGACCTCCTCTGTACAATGTTTTTGTGTAGACACAAATCTCCTGTTTTCATTTTAAAGGTTTCCCAAAGAACAAGATGTGAGGAAGAGGAGGAAGTATCTTTG